ACATCATAATCAGGAAAGCCCCAACACCTCATCATGACTCAGACATATCTCACATGGCTTATTGTCCCTGAAACAGGATTGAGGTTACCAGCTGCTGGTTAGTTTTTGTGCCAATCTGAATAAAGGAGTCAGGTAGTCAAGTGTGCCCTCTCCAGCCTCATGCCTGGATTCTTTCACGTTCCCTGCAGTGGGTTGAATAGTGGCCCTCAAAAGGGTATGTGCAAGTCCTAATCCGAGGGAACTGTGAATGTGACCTTATCTGGGAAAAGAGTCTTTGCAAATGTAAATTAAGGATCTTGAGATGAAATCATCCTGGATTATTCTGGCAGACCCCAAATCCAGTGACAAGTAAGAGAGAGAAGGGAAGAAGGCCCAGATCCAGAGGAGAAGTCATGTGAGGACAGAGGAGGCAGAGATTGGAGTTACACATCCACAAGCCAAGGACTGCCTGGAGTCACCCGAAGCTGGAGGAGGCGAGGAAGGATTCTTCCCCTCAAGTCCCCAGAGGGAGCATAGGCCTGCTGATACCTTGATTTCAGAATTCTAGTTTCCAGAAGTAAGAGAGAGTAGTCTTCTATCATTGTAAGCCACCAAGTTAGTGGTCATTTGTTACAGCAGCCCTAGGAAACTATTATGTGCCTTAATGTGCAACCAGTTTCTTTCAAACAGAATAGAATTATCCCAAGTGGCAAAGGGAGGGCTCCCTGTGAAGCTGTCACAACACCCTTCTTGCCACAGTGCTGCCCCAGAGCCTTAAGATGCCACAAAGCTCTCAGGGATGAAGGCTCATCTGGGCACACTGCCTGCCTGGTACCCCAGCAAGGACAACATGCCTCCACTGCACATGGTGACTGCAATCACATATCTTACGTGTATAGAAGATTTGGAAGATTCTTTTGAAATGCTTTTCCATTTTTTCTCAAATGGTCCTGAGTGCTCAATGAGGCCATTACGTAACATGGAGAACTTAACAAAGATCACTTAAATGGCTCACCCAAGAATGAGAACCAAGGTTTTCCAACTTGGACCAATGCTCCTTCTACACCTCCGCTAGGCAACAGCCCACACTTGGGACAACGAGGAGGCTGTGAGGTGATGGGAAGTCTGCAGTCATGTTTCAAACCGGAAGTATCCTAGGCTCCTTCATTTTGACTGGATGAATAAAACGTGTGTCCTGAGCTCCTCAGAACATCAAAGAATTAGATGTGCTTCTCAAACTTCGCTGTGCATATGAATCACCTGGGGAATCTAGTTAAAATGCAGTTTCTGATTCTTTAGGTCTGGGGTGGGACTTGAGATTCTGCATTTGTTACAAGCTCTCAGGTGATAACTGAGCTGCCTGTTTGTGGACCACAATTTTTGAGTGGCAATGAGATGTAGCTGCTGGCTAATTTCTTCACACTTACAGCAGTAATTAACCATGCTTGCCCTCTAATTCAGTAGTAAGAACTGTGGTTCTGAATTTATCATTTCAGGAGAGATTGATGACACTCAAGTTGGCAGTGCTTAGAGAAAAGTTTTATTATGGATCGATAACCATAAAAATATTCATACCTTTTGGTCCAGTAATTCCACTTATGGGTGTTAATTCTAAATAAATAATCCCAAAAGATGGAAAAACCTATGTGAACAACGGTGTTCTACTACAGCATTATGTATACTAAAAAAATTTAAAATCTAAAAAAAAAAAAAAAAAAATTTAAAATCTGTGTCTATTATAAAGGAAATTATTACATTAATTATAATAAATTCATTCAAGACAAAAGCAACATGTAAGTAAAGGAATAAAAATTATTTGAATGACACGGGCAACAAATTAATGGATTAACCATTTCAACAAAGTTTTCCCAGATTGAGAGTCTATGGAATTAAGGTATAACCATGGGCCCCTGTCTCTGTTGTATTTTTTTAAATTGGGTGGTGAAGACAAGGGTGATATCCTTACAATTCTTATGCCTTTCTGTATTCCTGAAATATTTCAAAATTTAATTAAAAAAAAAAAACAAGATGGCTGGGGACAGAATGAAGAACATTATAACCTACATGTTAAGAGTGTCAGTATTATAACAAAGTGAGCCAGATTGCCCCCCAAAAAATTTGGTCTTGGCTCTTGAAGGTACCAGAGACCATGGAGAGCAAGAATAAAGCATGGAGCTAACCAAGAGGAATGGGTAAAGTCTGTCTCTGGATCTTTGGATCCCTAGATACCTGCCCCACTAGAAAACTATCTCTCCCCAGTTTAAACCACCATAAAAGATGAGCAGTTTATTCTCCAGAGAAACTGAGTCACATCAGTTCAGAATTCAGGCAGCTCTCATCATAAATGGCCAGGTGAAAACAGCAAATTAATTGAAGATCAACATACTGAACAGTGGGATCTTCCATCCCGTCTCTGCCTAGCTCTCAGCCCTCCAGGAGCTAGATGTATATGCCCACAGGCAAGAGCCTAGGAAACTACAACCTGTGGGCCAAGTCTACTCCACTCTACTGCTTTTGCAGATAAAGTTTTATTGGAACCCAGTCACACACATTTATTCGTGAATTATTTATGACTGCTTTTTGCTGCAACAGAAAAGCTGAGTAATTGCAACAGACACCATCTGGCCTATAAAACCTGAAATATTTACTGTGTCTTGCAGAAAACATTTACTTACCTTGCTCTAGAGAAAAATCAATGCCCCCCAAGGAAAACCCCCAAATCCCTCATTTGGAGCTCTAGCGAAAAGTCTGGTGAAGCCCTGTCCACATACACACTGAGTTCTCCAAGCAGGTTTTAGTATTTTACTCTTACACACAAGTGGATGTCCAGAGATTTTCCAGACATTCAAGGGAAACCCCAATGTGATGGAGTATGATGCAAACAAAGAGCAAAAGGGACTTGGAGGAACCAAAAACTATTTAAAAAAAAAACAGAAAATAAAAATATGGAATTAATATCCTCAGAAATATTAGTATCCGCATCACCTGGGTGGCTCAGTCAGTTCAGTGTCCGACCCTTGATTTCGACTCAATCATGATCTCAGGGTCATGGGATTGAACCCCGCCTCGGGCTTCATGTTCAACAAGGAGTCTGCTTGAGATTCTCTCTCTCCCTCTCCCTCTGCTCCTCCCCCTCCACTCGCACTCTCTCTCTGTCTCTAAAATAAATAAATAAATCTTTAAAAAAAAGAAATATTAATATCAGATATCAGAAGATATTTCATCCATACATCAAGAACTAGATCCTATGATAAACAAGAGTGAACTCTGGAAACTTAAGAAAATGATAGCCCAAATTTAAAAAATAATATATAAATAACAAGATGAAAAGGACTGTCAAGCAAAAAGACAAAAAGATGAAAAATGGCAGGGCAAATTTAGAAAATTAGATTACCAATCCAGAATGTTCAATGTTCAACTAGAAAGAATTATAGCAAGAGAAGACCAAGGAAATGAAGGGTATGAAATTAGCAAAGAAATAATACTTACTTCTGGGAAATTTTTTAAATCTCTTGCACCTTATACCCAGCACAGTAAATAAAAACAACCATCAAGGGCCAGGGTGAAATCTCAGAGCACTGCAACAATGAAGAGAAGGCTCTGTCTCTAGAGAGGAAAGACACTAAGCAAAAGAACAAGAATCAAACTGGATCCAGAATCAGACTGGATCAGCAGTAACACTGGATGCCAAAAAGTGCAGTAGAGCATCACCCTCAGAACCCTGAAGGAAGATAATTTTTTCCCTGGGGTTCTGTGTCCAGCACTGTCAGCCAAGTATAAAGATAAAATAAAAATATGTTTAGCCCTGCAAGGACTTGAAATAGTTAGCCTTTATGCATCCTTTCTTAGGAAACGACTCAAGGAGTATTTCAACACAATCAGGGAGTAAAACCAGTAAACGGAGTGAAGTCCAGAAAAGCAAGGTCTCCACACAGAAGTGAAGGACGTCCCAAGAGGGTGATTTTACATCAGGCGTGTAGGGCCAACCATCCAGACTGGAGCGAGAGGACTCAAGACTTTGAAGAGAGGACCTCTGGGAGACGGGGAGACAGAACTGAACAACGATTATGTAATGTGTTTAAGATGTGGAAAAATTATTGCTAGGCATTTTACAGATTTGTTAGAACGTTTGAAGAGGGTAATATGCTACTTAGTGCAGCAGAAGACAATTTGTATCTAGTTTAATAATGTGGACAATAATAAATACTGATTTAACAAAAATTATTACATGTCTCTTAGGAGGATCATGGGAGGAGGTGAGGGGTGGGAAATTTGGGGACCGGTGAAGGGAAAGTTAAATTCTCATCTAAAATTGATAATCAAGAACAACTATAAAAACCAAATTTAGAAATATACAGGTAAGTGCTAAAGGAAACAGAAGAGTAGAAAGTATAAGTCTCTGTGAGAAGGGATAGGAGAAAAAAAAAATCTCTATTTTTTTTTTTTTTGCTAAAATTGCTGTTTCTGTGTGTGTGAAATCATTTAGTACTATTTTATTGTTTTAAAAAGATTATGTGGCCATTTAAATTATAACTGAAAAAAACTAAGTCGCCCTATGGAATAATGCTTATAATGCATTACCTCCTTTTGGTCTATCAGGATTTTAGTCTTTGTAATAAGGAAGTCTCCCAGGTAGGAACACTTGGCTGGCAGCCTGGAGGGCTTCTAGTGTCCTTGGTGTGACCCGGATGCCCTGAGATCCGTAGTCTCTGTGAGAGGATGATACACAAGCAGGTTTGGACCTGTGTATCCGTCAGGCCTGCGCAGCCAGGAAGGGACGCACCAGGGTTCAGGTAAAGAGTAAAGTGGGGAGAAGATATAAAATGCCTACATAACTATGACTGCATAATGCAAAAATGATACATTCGTCATGAGAAGGAAACAGTTGGATTTGTCCCAGAATTGGGAGTAAAGGTGTTTTTTCTCTTTAACTTAGAATTATATAAAGACAGAATGTTTGTGTAAAAGAGAATACAAGTTTTTACAGGAAATCAGTGGCGTTCTTTGCTTCCCTCCCGCAGCTTAATTGCTTACACGGAACAGTATGTGGAATATGATCCTTTGGTCACGCCGGCTGAGCCCTCCAATCCCTGGATCAGCGACGATATCACTTTATGGGACATAGAGATGAGGTAAAAACAACAACAACAAAAAAGTTTTAATGTTTGAGAAGGAAAGAAATGTGAGGAAGAAAATCATGAGATAGTGAGATTACATTATTTCCTGTTTTAATTTGACTATTTTTATCACTAGAACAGAAACCCCTCAAATTACCTCCTAAGTCCTGCCCACACATGGTTCTACCTCCCTATAGCTTCGCTTTGTACATGGATCCTCAGTGGCTTCCTCTGACCTCTCTGTGACCCTTGGATATCATGATAATGGGGACAGTCCTTCACATTTCCTAGTTCTTTTTTTTTAAGATTTTATTCATTTATTTTGAGAGAGAAGAGTGAGGGGGGTACAGAGGCAGAGGGAGAGAATCAGACTTCCTGCTGAGCGCAGAGCCTGACAGATGCGGGGCTTGATCCCACGACCCTGAGGACCCCAGCCTCAACCAAGAGTTGAGCGCTCAATCGACAGCCACCCAGGTGCCCCCCAGTTTCCTAGTTCTGATTGCTGGAGGGAAAAAAATCTGTCAGCCAATTTGTTTGTATATAACAGCAGCAGGAAGAATAGTAAGAGCGAGCACGGACTCAGCACCCGCCACATGGGGTCTTGCCTGGAGTCCCCACAACAGGTAAACAGTAATGTCATCATTGAACAGATGAGGAAACTGAGGCACAGAGGAGTTAATGAACTTGCTCAAGGTCACACAGCAAGTGGGTAGCAGAATTAGGGTCAGAACCCAGACAGCAGGCTCCAGAGCTGTGGTTTTCATCACTCTGCTCTTGGGGAGTGACTGCAAGTAACTCTTTGCCTGTGAGGGAAGGTAGTGCGTTCATTGACTAGCCCAGGAGCCAAATCCCAGAGAGCCTTGGACCAGAGTCACAGTCACCGAGGGAAGCGCACAGACACATCTGGTGTGGTGTGCCTTTGCACCCTCTGCCCCTCGGCTAGAAGACTTTTTATTTCATTTTTCATTTCTTTCTCTCTCCCTCATTCGCTTTCACTCTTGCTCTTTTTCTGGTTACTTATCCGGAAATGAAAAAAACCTTATAAAAGGTAATAAAAGTCTGGGGCGCCTGGGTGGTTCAGTCAGTTAAGCGTCTGCCTTCGGCTCAGGTCCTGATCCCAGGGTCCTGGGATCGAGCCCCGCATCGGGCTCCCTGCTCTGCGGGAAGCCTGCTTCTCCCTCTCCCCTCTCCCCCACTTGTTCTCCTGCATGCTCTCTCTCTCAAATAAATAAATTGAATCTTAAAAAAAATAAAATTCAAAATCTTTTTAAAAAGTAATGAAAGTCTTTTGTGACTTTTATATTTTGCTTATTATAAAAAATTCAAACTAGTCAGATGTACATAACAAAGAAAAGTCTCTCTCCCCGCCATCCAATCTCACTTTCCAGAAAGAATCTTTGTTTATAGTCTAATGCTGTGGTTCCCAAACTGAGCCAGGGCACCCTGGACCACTGCAGGGAATTCACAGGGTCACCCCGGGCTATTCTGTATCCTTGAGGGAAACACCGTGACGTCTGACATGTGTCCGATACTGCATAAAGTACTAGCTTAACATACTTCACCGTTTTCAGCATTTCATATGACATTCTTTTCTTTGCAAATCTGGGTTTTCAGGGCAGTTGCTATGATAAAATGCAAGTACTGTGCAAAAATCAAAATGGAACAGAAAATGAGCGTGTTGGGGTCCAGTTTGATTCCAAAGTTTGAGAAGATGTACAGCGCTCAACAGGCCCACATTGTAGTTATTTAAGAATGAAGTAAACATTGTTTTTTCTTTCAATTTATAGGTACTTTGTAGCTAGTAAGTTTTTAGGACATAGATATTTATTAAGTCCTTTGGACTTGACTATTTAAAAAACAAAGCCGTTATGTGGTTTTTTTGGCCCAGGGCCACCATGAAAAAGTTGCTAACACACTAAGGGTGCCATGAACTCAAGGAGTTTAGATTCTTATGGGTATACAGTATCATATTCTTCTGCATAAATGGATTCATTATCTATACATTGTCCCATAATTTTTTAATTAATATATCATGAGAACACATATAAATCCCCCTTATCTTTTTCAGTAACTACACAGTGTCCCCTTGCATGAGTGTAGTATAATGTATTTAATCAGTCCCCAGGTCATAAACATTAAGGTTATATCCTTTTTTTTTTTTTTGCTAGTATAAACAATGATGCAAAGAACATCCTTATACACAAGTCCAATTATTATTTTAGGATAAACTTCCAGGAGTGGAATTGCTAGGACTGGCGTGTTTATTTTGATTTTAGTTCATATGGCCAGATTCCTCTTAAGCAAAATAATATCATTTTTTTCATGCCCACAGCTTAAAAGTGTACATTTCCCCACATTCCTCACCAACTCAAGCATTATCCTCAGCCATTGTCAATCTTTGTCATCTTTGCATGTGTGATAAGTTAAAGTAAAAATCTCATTTTTTTTCCACTTCTTTGTTGAAAGACTTGAGAATCTTTTCTCATGGTTGACATTCATTTTTCTCTTGTGACTTGACTGTTTTGTGTTCTTCACCCACTTTTCTAGTGGTGTATTTTGCTTTGGACTTTGGGATAGAAAACAGTTACATTTACTTGGATTATAGATTTTATCTTTTCCTGATATTTCATGTTTTCCCAATCTCGTTCTTCTTGTTTCTTTTCCTCTTCCCTGATTTTTGCTTTATTAATCAAGTTTTGTATTAGCTTTCCTTACTCTAGTTTCTATGCTAATCATATTTACTATTGTTTTAATTTTTAATCAATGGCATCAATTCATGCAAATAATAATAAATTATGTAAAATAAAAAATAGAAATTTCCCTTTGCCTCCTCCAAATCCCATTCTTCTTGATAGGTATATTAACCTGATATATTTTAAACCAACATTTTGAGACTTAATATTTCTCCTTCAACATTAAAAGAAAAATAGTTTGTAGATGAGTATCTTCTTTCTAATAGTTCTAACGTGCCCTACATCATCCCTTCTAATCTGATCCAAGAATTTAAATCTTTCCTTAACTCAAGGGATTTCTCTCTCTCTCTCTTTCTCTCTTTTTAATCATAATACTCTTTTTTCTGTTTTATCCTCTCTTCTCAAGAAATCCTCTCATAGAAACTCTGAGCCTCTGGGATGCAGCAGCCGTATCTCTTTATCTTTTTCTCTTTTATAATTCCCATCTCTTAGTCTTTTTATGTTATATTCAAGGATAGAATTCCTTGAATTACTCTTCAGAGCTCCCGGCTTGGTGTTCAGTAATGTCTATTCTGTGATTGTATACTTCATGAGTTTTTCTTTTCCTACTGAGTTTTGAGAGGGCCTATTGACAATCGTGCTTTTCATTTCCAAGAATTCTTACTATTTCTTGGACTCCTTTTTCTTAGTAGCCTCCTCTATCTTTTTGACATTTATCCTCTTAAATCCCCCTGAGGGTGTGATACAGGTTTGGTTTGGTTTTGTTTTCATACTTCCCCTCTATTTCTGACATAGTCTGTTTCATTGGGGGTCATTTATCACAGAATCAATCACTGTGACTAATCACCGTTTAGAGCAGATCAGTCCGTCTTTTCATATACCCAGCAATTTGAGGGACTGCTGGTTTTCATAAGTGAAGCTCTTGGCTGTCAACTCCGGCCATACATTAGAACCACCTGGAGAGTTTATTAAAAAACAAACAACAACAACAAAAACAATGCCCAGTCCCCTCCCTAGGACAATTAAATCAGAATTTTTGGCAGTGGGGCATTGGTTTGTCTGTTTGTCTGTTTGTTTGTTTTTCATCTGTCCAAGTGATTCTAAAGGGCAGCCCTGATCCAGACGGACTGGATTGTAGCTGATGAGGATTCCCTCAGTAACTGGTCGGCAGGGGGAGGGGGGGGGACGGCGGGCGGGGTGGGGTCTATGGTTTTCAAAACACCGGGTACATCAGAATTACCTGGGTTGCTCATTAAGAAAACAGATGCCTCAGGGTGGTTCTGGGTGTCTGTATTTCTGGCAAGTGTTCTAGGTGGTTCTGCGGCACAGCAGTTTGAGAAGTCCTTGTGTGGTTCACAGAGTCCCCACCGTCCACCCCAATGCAGGCTCTCCTCTGAGCCGTCCACATGGCTGTAAGGTTTCACCTGAGAATGTTTTGGGGGGCCATAGGTCAGTCAGCAGGGTCCCTCTGGGTCCTGGCCATGTGACTCAAGAGCAGACTGAAAGACTGGGTCCCCTCTCAGAGCAGGACAGGTGGTAGAGCTCCACAGTCCCTTAAGCCGGGTGCTCTGCTCTATCTCAGATCCTGACGGGGTTTCTGAAGTTCTTCAGTTTCCTCTCCACAGTGCTTGCAATAAGTCCACTCTTCTCCCTTCTGCTGAGGGGCCTTAGGGAGCCTGATTAGACTGCAGAAACCAATGAAAAGTAGGGAAAAGGCCAGAATGTCTTTAGAAGTTTCTCTGCTTTGCTGAGATGCTTTTCCCCTCTCTATTGGCTGTTCACCCCGAGATTACAGAGGCACTACTCCCTGGTTTTATTACCCATATTAGCAGCTGGCCAGAAAACACCCCCCATTTGCTCAGGAGACCCTCTCTGCCATAGGCAACCTCTGGTCCATATTTGTTTTTGTTTTTGTTTTTTAATCTGGTACATATTTCTGAGTTTCTTCCATATGTCCCCGTCCAATGCCCACCAACTGCCTCTACTTCCGGTCCTGCTGCTCAGAGCTTGGGGTTTTCCCAGGCCTCTGTTGGGGACCCAGCTAATTTCTTTTCAGATGGCCCCAGAGACATAGGTGGTTCTCAATCAGTTGATACCAGTTCAGTCCATCTGCTTTATACGTTCCCCAAATTCCTCAAAGTTTATCATCTGCTGATAACAAATTTCTTTGCCTCTACATACTACCTATTTGTTTGTTTTCTTTGTAACTTTATTTTACTGAACTCCAGACTCTTGCGTGTTGCCTCTTCCTGGCCTGCTTCCTCAGAACCTCTCCTGGCTGGTTTCCCTTCTCCTTCAAGTCTCACTCAGCATTGGTGACCC